TCCCTCTGGGGTGATTTCCCTGCACTAATTCTCCATCCAGGAGATCTTTTGGAATCCGACCATCAGCCATTCTCACAACATGCCCGAGCCAATGTAGACGTCGCTGTTTCAGTCATGTGCACATGCTAACAATTCCAGCTCGTTCTTGGACTAAAATGGGTCTTAGAGTCCAGAAATCTCTGGAGGGCTACTGGTTTCCCATCTGCAGGAATCCAGCTCTGTCGTAAGCTATGCCAGATGGCAGTGAAAACCTAGAACTGTTTGTTTAGAGGTAAGTCCTGTTCTTTTTCCATAGGCTGACTCCCCAGAGAAATTTTCCTTCTCGCTTTTCCTGGTCCCACACCAGAACAAAAGGTGCCAGTTGTTCTCGGGGGGGGGGGAACAGCTAGGTTTCACAAAGACCTCCTTCAGATGTTGCATGTCTTAGAAAATAATTTAAGATGTTTTGGGGGTTTTATTTTAATTCCTTCCCAAAGGAGCTCAACTTATTTTCTAAGCCGGTCAGATCTCGGTCAATACAAGTCAAGCGGGTGCGTCGAAGGGGTCAGGATCACCCATTGCTGATATTTACACAAAGCTACGTCTAATAACATTACAATTTTGTTTTCTTTCTTCTGAAGCCTGAGGATTCCCCTTGATTTCCCCACTCCCATAAATCTAAATCCAAGCGACTACACCATGGAGTCCGAAGAGGAGAAAAACCCTGACGGACAGCCCAAAGAGGAGAACCAACCTGAAGGATCCTCCGCAGAAGATAAGACGCCTAATAAAGAATCCGGGGAAGAGAATCAACCTAGTGGGAATTCCACAGAGAAGAACCCAACAGATGGACAACCCACGGAAGAAAAGCAAGCAGACACAAATGCAGTAAGAATCATCTTTTTTTTCTTTTCTTGAAGAGGTATTCCCCTCTTGAATTCAACATGTTGTAGGATCACGTGTCTGTAGGCTTTCAGTAACCAGGGGCTGGTCATTTCAGGAATTCATTCTGCGATGAGGTTCTAGATTTACTCCTCTAAATTGTGGCCCTGTTTCCACCGGGGTCTGTTTACGGTTTGCGTAACTTGCGGTGGCTAATTCAGAAAGCGCCCAAGGTACCTCTGGGTTGCACAATTGTGTGTGTGACCTGATGCACAACCGAGGTGGAACCTGACGCCTTGTCCATGAGCTGCAATTAGCAATGGCCGGGTGCACCAGAGCGCTTCTATTTTTTTGATCCTGGGCCGGTTCAAAAGGAAGCTTCCGCCAGGTCGAACCCGCACATGGCAGGAATGGGCGGTCACATTTATCCCCTTCATCTTGGCCACTCTTGATCCATGCGTGAGCATCATGTTTGTGAAGAAGCTGTGTGCCTACGTAGTTAAGGGGACAAACACTGCAACTGATTTTTGCAGTGGCGTGAGATATGGAGTGCTCGCCTTGCCTTTAGCCTGGGGGGGGGGCTGGCCTCAGACAACAGAGCCATGAGGGGTGGCAAAGGCATTTCCCCCTCTTGCCCTGCCTGCCCTAGAACATCTGAGGAGCAACTAGCTGGCCAGGACATATTGTATCCAGGACAAAAGCGTGGGGAAGGTGGTGGAAGTGAAGTGAGGGAGACAAGCAAATGTCTTGTGTGAGGCTTAGTTACATTTTAGTGATTGCTTAGTTTGCTTAGTTACACTTCTGAATTCATTGCAAGGAACTTATTTGTAACTAGTTACTTCTGAGGTTGGGAGCTTGTAACTAGTTACTTCTAAAGTCTAGAGTTCAGAACTCTGGAAACTCATACAAATATATATTTGCCGCTACCATCTCCTTAGAAATGGCTCTTTAATTTTATTAAAGCACAAAGGTCTTGTGTTTCTAACCCGGCTGAGATGGATATAGCTCTGGACCAGGAGCAGTGTTGGGTGTTGCTATCGGTTAATAAGGCCATGTATCGGGAAGTTGGAAAATAGAGGTATTAAGAAAATTCATGTCAAGCTTAATTTTCTCTCCTTAAATGTAGCTCAACTCATTTTGAAAATACAACGTTAGTGAGTGTTCAGGGCAGATGCTTCTATTCCTGTCTGAATTATTTTAACATTCTGTACAGAATTTCACATCTTGACTATTGGTTCTCAAGTCGTCAGCAGTAGATTTTGTCTGTGGCATCGCTTACACACCGGTTGTGCAAACCCAGCCTCTTTCCGGAATGTGTCTCTGGAGCTGCAATGTTTTATCACCTTTTAATTGTGAAGCTGACACCTGAATCTCTTTTGGCCCTGAGTCACTCAAATAAAATCATCTTCCTGTAAACGATCTTGAACTGGCTGGAAGGGGAGCTTTCATTTCTTCCACAAAGTCTGGCAAGAGCCATCATAGGATATGCTTGTACATAACGCCGGTCTTTCCCTCCCTCGTGTGTCGATTCATCTTACAGAAAAGGAAATTGTGAACTCAGAACCCTCTCCAGGTTACTTAAGGCAAAGGCTGAGGGATCAGATTGTCAACGTATCGCTCAGTCATCGCCTGGCTTACTCTTTTAACGTCACTCCGTTTAGCCCAGAATAAATTGTGTGCTCATCATTTTAAATCTAGACACTTAATCTTTGTGCATCTTGAATGAGGCAGAAAACCAGGGTTAAATGTTGCAACAAAACCTTCACATTTCTACTGATTTGTTCGTAAATCTTGAAAAAGTTGCTTTTCTAGATTACAATTCCCCAAAGGGGCCAAGCTGGGGGCAGGATTTCTGGGCCATTCTCCCTCAAAATAACTTTCCTGAGCTCTGCTTATTTATTGCATTTCTATCCCACCTTGGTTTGCAACGGTTCAGGGTGGCACATATGGTCGTGTTCTCATCTATAGTATTATGTTTACAAATCAGTGAGGAATTTATTTATTTATTTATTTGGGTCTGCAGCCACCAACTGCATTATTTTATTAATCATTCATACATTTTTGCAGCGACCAACAGCATTATTGATTGATTGATTGATTGATTGATTGATTGATTGATTGATTGATTGATTGATGTCTGCAGCCACCACCTGCATTATTATTTTATTATTCATTCTACAATTTTTCAGCGACCAACTGCATTTTTTATTTATTTATATATTGATTTATTTAGGTCTGCAGCCACCATCTGCATTATTTTACCATTTGGGGGGGGGGGAACAGTGCAGAAAAATGATATCAGAAGAAAAATGACTATTTCGCGTCTTATGCAGGAGTAAGATTGCTTTGCATGCTTTTACAGCATATAAGCGTCGTATCGACCGATGGCTGTCGGAAGAGACCAAGCTCGTCCTCCAACAGGGAGTATAACACCGGGGCATGTAAGGACGCAGACAGGCGGTGCCCCAAGTGCGCACGCGCGAGCGAGCAAGAAAGCCACGCGCAGGGGGCCCCTCCCACGCCGCTACGCAAGCCCCGCCTTCCCCGCTCAGTGGCTCGCCGCAGCCGTTGCTTAGCAACCAGACAGCCGCTTGAGGCGGGCTTTTCCTCTCTGTGCCTGAACGAGGGCAAGAGAAAGGCGTGGCTTTTTACCATCCTCCGGTTGAAACCCCGCCTCTAGCCCCGCCCCCGCGCTCTCTGATTGGGACCTCCCTACCCCTCTCGCGCCTCCGCCGTCCGGACGCTTCTAGAGCCTGCCGTGGTGACGTCACGGCGGCGGCGTTCCAGAAACTTCGCGCGGCCGATATAAAAGCTTCGAGGCGGCCGGCGGGGCCCGTCAGTCCTGCGCCGGTCGCGTTGCTGTGCGGGCCGTCTCTGAGGGAGAAATCCCGGAGAGTCTCCTGGGTCGGAGGAAGCGGGCCGGCAAGGGGGGGAAGGTGCCAGGTGGGCCTCTTTCTCTTTCCCCTTTCCCTCACAATCGGGTTTTTTTTGGGGGGTGGAGGAAGTTTCCTCTCAGGAGAGAAAGTTCTAGACCGAGGAACGGAACGCAGCCGTTCCTTTGGGAGTAACGAGTCGGTAATTAAGGGTGGGGGGGTCGGTTTTCTGTCAGAAACCAAGGCCTCTCCAGCAAGGCCGGGGCCGGGGTGGGGTGTTGTTGTCGAAAAGGCCCCTCGGTGGGTCCCTGGGGGAGGCGGCTCCAAAGGGGGCGAAGTAACTGAGGGGCGAGAAAGGAAAGAAAAAAAGAGGGCTCTTGGTCAAGGCCCCGTGTGGGCTTTCGAGTTAGGCGCCCCGTTCGTGTGTTTCGTCGTCTTCAGGACTTCCTCTTGATTTATCATGAGGCCTTTTTCACCTCGGGATGTAAAACCCCCTTTTGCAGACGGGCATGGCTTTGAACTGCAAATAACTCCCTTTAAATGATTTATCCTTCTTCTTGTTGCTCTTTTAAAATGCTATAAACCCAACTTGGTGGGGCTCGCTGTTTTTAGCTTTAAAAGTTGTCTTTATTATCATCATCATCATCATTGATCTAGATTAATGTTGCAAGTCACCCTGGGGTCTTTTTTTTTAAGGAGAAAGGCAGGGTAAATAATATTTTATATAGATAAAACTGGAAAAAAAATACCCCTGGCTTTAGGCATTGGGGGGAGGGGGGGAAGTCCTGACCTCTGCTCTGTCTTGACCCCCCAGGGAGCCTCTGGGCACCGAAAGTGGGGAAGCCTCTCTTTTTCAGCCTGAGGACCAAATAAGGATTAGGCTCGAGGAGGGTTGAGCATCCGGGGATGTGGGAGGCAAAAGGCAGGAAGATGGGGCCAGAAATACGAGTTAGTGCCTCTAAGCTTTAGGAGAAACACTTTAGCGTCTAGAATGGGGTAGAAACCTGCAGAGAAAGCTCTTAAATGTTGTAAGCCGCCCAGAGACCCCTTTGGGTAGTGTGGGCGGCATATAAATTAAATAAATAATAAGTAGTGTTTGCCCTTTGGAGGCCCAGAGATGAGGATTCATTCAGCCCAGTCTGCTTCCTATAGCTTGCTGCTTAAGGCAGCTCCTCTCCACTCAAGAGACGGGAGTGACGGGCAGGTTACTAATAAAGAGTTTCGTTCTAATCTTGTTAATTATTCAAGCCATTTGCAGGCTGGAAAGATTATAGTCTGCAGAGAGGAGGAGAGCAGGCTGAACCTGAAGTCAGGAGCCGGCTTGTATATCGAGTGAGCTTCCGTGTGATTTAGAGTCCTGCTTGTGTCTAAAATAAGGGGCTTGTTTTGAGCCCAGTGCGAGGCTGAGGTGCTGGTTGTCAATGTTTTGCCGGCTGGATGTTGCGGCCCTGGTTTTTAGTCTATAAAACTTTGCAGTTTAAGTTCTTTTTTTCAGAATGTTTTGGTATAGAAAGTTTCCTAGCCCATGGAGTCAGTGAGTAAAAATATTCAAGATTATCCCCCGATGTGCTTTTTTTAGTAGATGTCCAAGAGACCATGAATATTTAGTATGCAACTGATAGGTCATTCAGCATTTCATTCTGTTCCTGTGTGTCTGACGAAGTGGGTTTGTTTGTGAAAGATTGCTTTAAAACGTCATGGAGGTCAAATCTTGTCTTCTGTTTTATTTCTTCGGATTTTGCCTGACACTTTTTATTGTTTCTCATCTTTGTCAGGTCACCATGGTGAAGGAGACTGGATACTACGACACTCTGGGCGTGAAGCCTGGTGCCACCTCAGAGGAGATCAAGCGTGCCTATCGCAAGTTGGCACTGAAGTACCATCCAGACAAGAATCCCAGCGAGGGCGAACGGGTAAGGGCGGGCTGGGGCTCGGGAGTGGTGACAGAGCAGTTGCATTTCACTCTCACCCTTAAATATGGAACATGGGCCTGTGAGTCAAGGTTGTCCAGTTTTACATGCCCTGTCATACTGATCAGTGGCCTAAGGAAACATGCTATAAACTTGCCATTAGATTCATGTACCATTGCTTTTGTTTTTATTTATTTATTAGATTTTTACCCTGCCCCCCAGACAACATCTACTTGGGGCGGCTTACAAATGTCATAAAATATTATAAAATGCAATAATACAGCAACATCTACTTGGGGCGGCTTACAAATGTAATAAAATATTATAAAATGCAATAAAACAGCATCATTATTAAACAATTAAATCAAAAATGTGGTGGGTTCAAGATGGGGAATAACAGAACATTGGTGGTGATCAGAATGAATAAATGAAACAGGCAGGCCAGCCTATTTGAGAATTGAGGGCAGATGTCCAGTGACATCTGGAGGGACAAAAGTTCCCCATCCCCCAGTCTTACAACTAGAGTAACGAACATGTTATTATCTGTCCTGTTGCCTTCACCAGCTTTTAAATAAATGTAATTGTGATTATTGCATATAATTGTCACGTAATTGCTATGGGAGCCTATCGTTTGACAGAAAAAGGAGGTGCAAGCAAAGTGAATATATTAGTAGATGACAGATAAGTTCAGCCAGTGAATAGTACAGGTTTGGTTGAATGACAAATCTGCATGGTATAATTAAATAAGATTTTTACGTGTGTTGGCAACTTACCTGCTTTGCTGCATGCATGATGGTGGCCAGCTTATAAGAGGTTTTGTTGAGAAAGATATGGGACTGCAACTTGCAAGGTTTTTCCCAACATCACTCTCCCTCAACCATCCCAAAAATTCTGGAATTAAAAACTCCACATAAAGTTTGGTATCTATTCTTCATATTTTTGGGAGGTGAACCATTCCTTTGAAAGGATGAATTTTGGAGCCGGGCCACAGATCCCAACTGCTGTTACCAGACACTTTGTTTATAATGTGCAAGAAGTCAGTTTCAAATGTGTAAAATCTATGAAAGCTTGCGTTTGTGCCTAGTTCAGCTTCACTGCGGCAAAGAGCAGGTACCTGCAATAGTCTGGTACAGAGTGGGCAAAGTTAATACGTACTGGTGTGTAGTGCTGGAGCCAGTTATATGGGCTTTCCCATGGGTGTACCTTTGGGGAGGCTATAATCCCTGCTGTATTAAAAATGAAAATAATTGGCACAGGTAGTCTGTGATAGGTTATATCTTGAAACAGTGCATGGTGGGTTGATTGTACTATTTCTTATGCCAGGATATAATAACTGGTGGGTGCGTTGTTACTAATTTAAATTCCCTTAAGTTATGTATTTTTGATTCTGAACTAAAGTCTCACCAGCTTCTGCCTGGGGAAAATGTAGTTTATGATTTATATTATTGAATGTAGCCCTAAGCCTTTCTTAACAGCCATCCAGGAGTTTCTTTAATCAGTTGTGTGAAAATTTACTACGTTTGTTTGTCAGCCAGTCATTTAGAGGGTTTCTTTCTGTTCTTAGTTTAAGCTCATATCCCAGGCTTATGAAGTTCTGTCAGATCCCAAGAAAAGGGACCTCTATGACCAGGGTGGGGAGCAAGCGATTAAAGAAGGAGGCTTAAGTGGCGGCAATTTCTCTTCACCCATGGACATCTTTGACATGTTCTTTGGTGGTGGAGGCCGAATGAGTAGAGAGAGAAGAGGTATGCAAACATGTATAATTTTTTAAAAAACACATTAGTTAAACTCTAGTGTTTGAAAATAAAGTACCCGGTGGTCTTGCGCTCTGTAGAGAGCTTAAAATAAGTAGTTGCTATTAATGGTGGCAGCAGATGTTGTCTCTCAGGGAGGGAAGCTCCTGACCTTCTCTAAACTCAAATTTACTATTATTAATGACCTTTTTTAAAATCTCATTTATGCTTTATTGCATATGTTGGCCCCGTTGTGTTGTGAGGTTAATATGTGACATGACGTTGTGAAACATAATGCTCCCACACGAATGACACTGCTTTTCTCCTGAAGCATTTTTGTTCGTGTTCACCCTTAATGGTGCTGATACTCGGGTGATATCTTTGGGAGCGAAACAATGAGAAGAAGAGGGAGGGGAGTAGGATCACAGAGAGTAAGAAGTTGAAAAATGGCTATAGAAGCTGTTTTCAGTTTTGTCGGTTCCTCCTGGGTTTGGGTGAGTAGGGTTCGAAACCCATAGGATGTGAGTGCATTTCTTTAGAAAAGGCTCCTCCTTATGCTCCTGTGGAGTATGGGAAATGGCCAGAAATAAGGGAATAAAGTAAGTTTAAGTGAGCCAGTCCTTCCTTATTGCCATGGTTATGTGAAAGAGCAGCCGATTAAAGGGAAACAGGTAGTCTAGGTGGGCACACTGCCAGCTCTTCCCAATCTGTCTGTCGGAAGAGTCTGTTGTCTCCACGCCAGAGAAGGCTCTTCACAAGCACAGCTGATTTCACCCTTCGTGTCTTTATATGAAGGACGTTGGGCCTGCTTGCTTCTGATCCTGTCAAGTCCCTTAGTGTGAGCAACATAGGGAGAAGGCTATAATTGGGTGGGAGGAATAGTTGTCATTATGAATGGGGTACTTCCCTCTTGTGACAAGCGTTTCTTCCCAACTTTAAATATCTGCCCCCAACCAAATCTCTATTGCCTTCTCGGTTCCAAAGTTGGGAAGAGTTTGGCCAGCTCTTTGGCAGACCTTTGGGAGTTCTGTAATATTTTTTTTAATATTAGAATGATAAAATGACAGTGTTCCAAAAGAACATACCTCTTAGAAAGGAGCACTTTGTGGCATGCTTGGAGATTGCAGTTAGGGTAGATGAGAAGCTGAATGTATGTTACAAAGCACCATTTTTACATTAAGCACCTGCATTCCTCTTTTATTAAGGTAAGAATGTCGTCCATCAGTTGAGCATCTCTCTGGAAGACTTGTATGTTGGAGCCACAAGGAAGCTGGCACTGCAGAAGAACGTCATTTGCGAAAAGTGCAAAGGTAATGACTTCATGTCCGGGTATCCTAAGCAGGATGAGAAAACAGAAGCCAGAACTCATCCATTTGGAATTCTAAGTGGCACAGACGTCCTTCTATCTAGCCATGTTTGTGTGGAGAGGAGGTCTCCTTGGTGTGGGTTTTAGTGCTGTGCACTTGCTGACATCTTGAGGACAGAGCCATTCTCTTGTTACAGCCCCATTGCTAAAGGGAGCGTGAGAAGTCTTTGTTTACCCTCAGCAGATGTTAAGTCACACATCTGTATTTTCTTCCAAGGTTACGGTGGAAAGAAGGGGGCCATGGAAAAGTGCCCGACGTGCAAAGGGCGAGGTGTCCAAGTGATTGTGCAACAGATTGGGCCTGGCATCGTGCAGCAAATTCAGACTGTCTGTCCAGACTGTAAAGGGCAGGGTGAGCGGATAAATCCCAAAGACCGGTGCACTGCCTGTGGTGGCAACAAGGTGGTTAGAGAGAAAAAGCTCTTAGAAATCCATATTGACAAAGGTAAGAATCTTTATGCCTGACCCCACCCTCAAATCCCTGGCTAGCTCACTCAAGGAGGGGGTGGAGCTGAGAGGGAATTTCTTTTCTGAGCATGCGAGGTTCATGATCATGCTTTAGGGTCACAGAGGTGATGTCAGTTATTGTCCTGTTCCTCCACAACTGGAGGGTCTGACTTACTGCTTAGTGAAAGGAAGTTTGAGAAGTGCCCTAGGTAGGTGGAGGTGTATGTCCAGTCAAGAGCCCCCAAGGGGAACACAGACCTGTGAGTCAGGGAGACGTAGATAAGTGTTTGACTTGGGGTTTAGGTCAGAATTGGTTTCTTTATTTACCTCTCTCCTGAGGGAAACAGCTTTGGGGGGGGGGGGGAACAAGGAGGCAGCATCTTAATAATTAAGAAATACATTAAAACATAGACTGATTAGCCCATGTGTTCCTGGGCATCCATCGAACATAGTCAAAAAAGCTTGTTAATCTAAGGCTGTTCTAAAATTTTGGAAATCATCCTCTTAGTTATTTTAGACTAAAAGTTAAAGGAAGGCTGAAATCTGCTTTGGCTGGTTTTTTGGAAATTGAAAGTTCCTCCCTCCCCTATCCGCTTCCCACAGCAGCCTTCCTGCAAGGAACAGGACCTTGAGAGGGAACCTTGGGTCCTTTTGGGGGTGGAGTGGGGTGGGATCTAAAATTTTGAAATTTTTGAAAGAAAATAAAAAGCAGTGGCAGATGATGTCATCTGCCTTGTGTGACGCCAGTTACATTGCTGGATTTCAGCCGATGTTCTGATCACATTGTATAAAACAAAAGTATTAATTGGCTATCCCTGGGTTCTTAATGTAACTTTACTGAATAGGTTGAGAGGTTTGAGTTAGAATCCTTCACGTGTAGTTACTCATCTATAATTGTTCGTATTTGTTTGTGGAATGCAGCAGCAATTGCAGGGTAATTTTGTCAAATATTTACCTGCCTGCTGTCTTGGGTGCTGAAATGTAACTTTTTTTCATAGGTATGAAAGATGGGCAGAAACTAGTGTTCCATGGAGAAGGGGACCAAGAGCCTGACTTGGAACCAGGCGATGTCATCATTGTGTTGGATCAAAGGGACCACCCAGTGTTTCAGAGAAGGGGCCATGACTTAATTATGAAAATGAAAATTCAGCTGATAGAGTCATTGTGTGGCTTCAAAAAAACAATTGAAACTCTAGATGACCGAGTCCTTGTAATAACTTCCAGGCCAGGTGGGTTTTGCATCTGCTTTGCCTTTTTTTAAAAAATAAAGACTTACAACACCTACACAGAAGTAGTAGGCAAGCTTTATGAAGGGTGGTTAGAGAGCTTGGCTTACTGATTTTATCTGCATGTGGTCTTCTGATATCGCTGGACTTCACTTCCCCATACCACTGACTGTGCTGGGTCATGGACAATGGGTATTGTAGTCCAACATCAGGCAGGGGATCATTTTGCCCACACCCAGTTTAATGCTTTGTGTACAAGCAGAAGTTTTAAGCAAAGCCTTGAACTCCTGTTCACTTTGTGAACAGCAAGCAGGAGAATTAGACCAGCCTTGAAGCTCAGTTTGGTTTAATTTAACTTTGGTTAAAATAAATTTATAAAGTCTTTTGCTAAACAAGCTGGCAAAACTGGGTTCTTGAGCCACTTAAATTTTAATGTAGTCATCTTTTTTAAAAAAAAAAAACAGGTGAAGTAATAAAGCATGGAGACGTCAAATGCATCGTGAATGAAGGAATGCCAATTTACAAATCTCCACTGGAAAAAGGTTCCCTAATCATACAGTTCTTGGTAAGTGTGCCAGCTCTTTGAGAAGGGCATATGGTGTCTGTGTTGCTGCTGTGTTTCCTGTCTGTCTGTGGACTGTACTGTTGAGTTACATGTAAGCAGCCGTGGAGTTGTCCTTTAAAGTCCTCACTGCTCGGAAACAGCACCAAAGGCTGACTGATAAACCTGTTGCTTACAACAGTTTTCCCAGGTTTTGGTTTAAAGACGAAAGGAAAAGGGGGTAGCCAAAGTGCACTATAACAGGAAGGGTCTGACTGTCGTGGTGACTGATAAACCTGTTGCTTACAACAGTTCTCCCAGGTTTTGGTTTAAAGACGACAGGGAAAGGGGGTAGCCGAACTGCTTTATAACAGGGTCTGACCGTCGTGCCCACTTAACTCGGTGAGAAAGGCAGGCAGTGCTGTCCTTCAGACCCTGCTTGGTACCGTCATGACTTAAAACGGCACACGACGCTACTTCTTGCCGAAGGTGGGTAAGGAGTTTTATGCAGAATCTTAACGTGAGGTTTCTCTGTGGCAGGTCGAATTCCCAGAACATCACTGGCTTTCTCAGGATCGGCTGCCTCTGCTAGAAGCTCTGCTTCCCCCACGGGAAGAAGTTATGATTACAGAGGACATGGATCAAGTTGATCTGGTTGAATTTGATCCCAGGGAGCGGTCTTCTTACCGTAATCACGGAGAAGCCTATGAAGAGGATGAAGGAGGCCCTAGAACTGGCGTACAGTGCCAGACCTCTTGATCAGAGATGCGGTGGACTTTTAAGGTGATGTTTCCAAAAATTACCTGCAAGGCTTTTTAAAAGCCTACTTGTTTGTTTTGCACAAGTTTGCGTTCTATGTTCATTTTTGTAACTATTTCATATTTAAGTGTTACATGAAAGATTTGTGTAATTTAAGACTTGTGTGGTGCAGCTAGGTGAAATAATCTGTTTCAGTTACTCTAAGGATATGTACAACTTGGAAGAGAGCTCAGTAGAGAACTGACTCTTACTACTAGTTACAGGAAACAACAGTGTCACTTTAAGTATAATAAAGTGTTCAAAGACTCTTAATAGTGTGTAACTGAAGCGTTTCTCCAATAAAGTTCATGGACCATTTCCACAGTGATGGGCTTTGTATGTTGGATTCCTAGCTTTACAAACTACATCTGCTAGTTTGAAATTTCGTTCAAACCCCAGCCCGCCCCCCCCCAGTGTGTGTTACTTTTAATATTTGATCCAATTCTGTAGAATTTGAAGTTCTCCTCAAGTTAAGGGGAAGACTTCCTCTTGTACATGAATGCAGCGGTTGGTCCTCCTTAATTGGTACTCTTTACTGAACTTTGCTACTAGAAATGATCACAGCATCTTACTAGGAATTGTCATTTATTTTGTTTTGACATAAACAGAACAGCAGAATTCATAAGAATGTAAGTACACTGGATTTCCTATTTTCTGTCAAAATCAAATGCCCTTACATAAATAAAATTGATTTACCAGTTAAGCATTCTTGTTAACAAAGCTACATAACACCATCTCTAAAAAAACAATCTCTGTTGATAAAGGATGTTTAAATGGGACAATCATAAATATGGATCTCTTGGTCATCACCAACTGAGACGATTTTTGAACCATTTCCATTATATTGTACTCCCCACACCTATAAATGAAGACAAAAATCCCATGAGATTGGTGACAACAGAAAGAAGCTGATTTATGCAACCAAAGTTGCTTAAGTGCAAAAAAAAGTTTAATAACCTGGTCTTGATGGTCAAAGAAGGTATGAACGCAAGTCCTTGAAGGCACATCCCAAACTTTAACGGTTTTGTCCGATGAACTGAAAAGACACAAAGAGCATTCAGCTTCGTTCCTGCGTACACTGAAATTCCTGCTCTTGCCACTGCAAATAAGTGCTGAGACTGACATCCTAGAGGCAGTGATCACAAACCCGGCTCTCTGGGAAGGGAGGACATGGCAGGAGTTGCAGTTTAGGCTGTGAAATCCTCACCTGGCAGTATTTGTGATTCTACCGCTATTCACTGGTTAAACGCTTCTATTTTTAGCTCCTGTAAGGATCAAGGGTGATGAGGGGCTGTTCCTTTGCTCTGATATAGCAGGACCCCCTCTAGCGTTCTGCGCACCCACGAGGACACAGGACTGATGCTTACTCTTGTGGCTGATAGCCTGTTGTTTATGCAGTCCGTCACAACTAGAGTAAGCCCATTTGAATCCATGGAATTTGCAAAAGAGTTGACTCATGAAATCCTCATGGATTCAGTAGGCCTACTCTAGTGCAACTTCTTGCATTACGCAACACTATTTCGGCCCCTGCCACAGAGAACATATATATGTGATGTGTCTGGAAAAGACACATCATAACACAAATCTTACTAACAGCCCTCATTGCCAGGGCTTCTAATACCAGGCATTAGATATGGTAACACCATATGTTTTCTGTTGATAAAATGTGTCTGTTAAACTGACAAACCAAAAAAGTGTTGTGCAGGGATACTTCCCACATGAACGGTTATGATCCACACACCAGCAGTGAGATGTAGCAGACAAGCATAACAAAGATGAGAACAATGAAACAAACATACAAAAGTGGAATAAACATTCTACATACCTGGAAACAAAATGTGTGTCATCAGGACAAAATGCTACATTTAACACCCAGGAGGCATGGCCACTCAGCGTGCCTGCCAAGTTTGCATGCTGCCTGCAAAATTCAAAAACAGGGCTCCAGTTTATAAGAAGAAACATTTCACTGCAGAAGTCTTCAAATTGTCACCAGGGGGAACCCCTCAGAGCGCCTGGAAAAGGTGCAGAACGTGGCAGACAAAACTAATCACGGCTTGCGCAATGCGCTTTATAAAGAACGGTTAGGAGGGGGGACTTCGCATATCAAGAGAGCATAGAGGAGATTTACAAAATCCTGCACAGCGGGGACAAAGCGCATAAGGATCTACTTTTACTCTCGGCACATGAGAGCTACCCAGTAAATACGAACAGCAGACTGCTCGAGACGCTCAAACTACTGCCACCTGAATAACGTTGGCCATGACAAACCAAGGAGAAAAGTTGACTACTTGCACGTCATAAATCTTGATATAGCCGTCGTCGGAAGCGGTGACAAGCAGCTGCGAGTCGGGCGAAAACGTCAAGGAACGGATAGGCATAGCGTGGCCTGAAACAAGACGAGAAGCCCAGTCTCCACCTGCTCCTTCTGCCAGTTAGTCTGGCCCACCGCCTCCCTGAACGGCCTTGCCAGTGAGGGCACCAAGAACTGCCGGCTGCAAGACTGAATGATGGATGAAAACCATGTTCCATGGTCGGAAGCAGCGACGGGAAAGGCCAGAAAGGGGAGGGAGGGAGGGAGGGCGAACGACGCTGATCCGCCAGAAACAGGACACTCAGTGTCTTACCTTCCAGTGTGTGAAGAAGTTTTCCGGTTGCAATATCAAAGATGTTAATAATGCCATCGATGGCTCCGCTGGCTAAATATTTTCCATCTGGGCTCTGCAAAGACAAGAGATCAGCCTTGTGGCCGTTGCCTTCTCACATCCCCAAAGCATAAACCATGGTCAAGTACAGAACGCAGAAAAAGGTGAAGCCACATCTTGGATTTCTCCACCCTGGCAAGCGGCTTTATGGGGTAAGGAGGAGAAAGATTGTGGTTCTTATCCCCCACCCCACCCCAGGGCACTGCTGTGTAGCAAAGAAGTGACAGAGGCACTCTTTGTGAGCAACAAAACCTTTTGGCAGCCACCTGAAGCAGATGGGGAAGGCTGAAACTTTTACGGACCACGTCTTGCTAGTATTGGCGCAGAGTTCACCACAGACCTTTAGCTAAAGCAGGGGTGGGGAGATCTGGCCCTCCAGAGGTCACTGGGCTGGAAATGCCTCTAGTTCCAGCCAATACAGCCAACAGTGAAAGATGCTGGGTCTTGCAGTCCAGCATCTGGAGGACCTTTCCTTAGCCCTATTTGGGAGAACATTGGCCTCAGTTCGATGTGATTCTGACGGTTTCTGCCACAAAAGCCCACATGGAACTAATTAAAAAAAAATCAAGGATTCTCCTGGACTGGAAATGCAAAATGCAACCCAACTAGTCGTTTCAGAACATTTCAGGATCAACAAGCTGGCAGGAAACCTTTGTAACTCCCAAGGAAAGAAATCAAAACCTTTTGGCAGCCACCTGAAGCAGAACATTTCAGGATCAACAAGCTGGCGGGAAGCCCCTGTAACTCCCAAGAAACTTGTTTTTCAAAAGCAAATGCATGATGAATGAATGCTGAACAAGCAACGTTATGGCCTCGTCCCATTCATTTAACCTGGGATGAATAGTTCTGGAACACCTCTGGCCAACCCTGCGCTATAGGTTCCGAGTAGCACCAAAAGATACTATTTTACGTATTCGCGAAGGCTTTTACGGCCGGGATCTAATGGTTGTTGTGGGCTTTTCGGGCTCTTTGGCCGTGTTCTGAAGGTTGTTCTTCCTAATGTTTTGCCAGTCTCTGGTGGCCGGCCTTTTCAGAGGACGGCACTGAAGATGCCGGCCACAGAGACTAGCAAAACGTTAGGAAGAACAACCTTCAGAACACGGCCAAAGAGCCCGAAAAACCCACAACAACCGTACTATTTTACCTTTTAAATTTAAACAAAACGAGAGATGCATTCTGAAAATCTTCTGCAGTCACTCACATGCTTGCTCATCATAAAATCATAGGACAATGGAGTTTGGAAGGGGCTTAGAAGGCCATCAGAGTCCCACTCCCCCTGCTCAAGGAAGGAGAGTAGTCCGTATTCAGCACACTGAAAGCAAAGGGCTGGATTAGCTGTTTTCTTGGCATAGATTTTATAGCTACTGTAACTCCTCACTGAGAATAGTAGGGTTTAAAAAAAGAAGCTCAGGAGTCTTACATATGCAATGCTTAAGATGAATTTGCCTCTTGTGTCCAGGGAATATTCTTTTTTTCCAGTCTCCACACCAAAAATGTTGACTTTCCCTATGTGACTGCCTGTTGCAACGTACTGGGAGTCCGGTGAAAAAGCCAGAGACCATGCATCAACTAGTGGGAGGGAAGGGGTGGGGGGAAAAACATGATTAATTAGATATCTGACACCATTAAGAGTGGGAGAGTTATACAATGTCAAGCATTACCAGTGTGGAAAGGAGTGAAAGGCTTCATCTTCCAAATTATTTATTCTAGATTGAACTTTAAATCCATCTTGTGGGTCACTCCAAAGCAAAGCTTGTTGCTTCTATCCCAGCTCTTAGTGCTTAAAGCACCTTCTGGGTGGCTTACAATTTAATTATGAAGGCTACACACTGCACCCACCCCCACCCGCCCACTCCACAGAAGCTGGGTACTCAATTTAATAACCTTGGAAGGATGGAAGGCTGAGTGAACCTGGATGGTGAGCAGGAGTTTTGGCTGCAATACTGCAGTTCAGGCACTATGCCACGAGGCTTTAATTTGGTGGAACATCAGAGAAAGGGATCAAATGGGTCCCAATCAAGCTTGCATCACAGACGGAATGGCTTCCCCTCCTCCTCCCAGGGTGCTCCCAAAATCTGGACAGTTCAGGGAATGTGAAAGCCCGCTAGAGCAGATCTGGGGAAGGGATGAAGCAGGTGAGAGGAGACTTCCTGCAACCTTCTGCCTGAAAAATCTGTCTCCTGATAAACAGTTGAACAAAGGAAAAAACAAAACTTGCACAGCATGCCGTTAATTAATAGAGGAAGGCATCTTGAGCGTTACCTGGTCCAGCATCTATAGACTTGATCTGCTTGCCCGTGTCTAAATCCCAAATACGGATATGAGCATCTAAAGAACTGGATGCGGCAATGGTGCCAGTGTGGCTGATATCCACGGAAACGACACCCAACTGGTGACCTTCTAATGTCCACTTGAGGTCTAGCTTTTCCTCATTCCTTTGCAAGGAAAAAGAAAAGGGGAGAAATCAGAACAATAGAAAGCAAGGAGCTTTCCCAACACAGTCGACCTGCCACACAACGTGGCGGAATTCCTCACCCTCTTTGAGTTCAAAATTAAATTTGCTTTTTTATATACAGGAGCAGTGTCATGCACCTTCGCAAGAACCAAGGCAGTTTGGAAGGGGAATGGAGCTCTGTAAATACAAAGGAAAACTGGGCATATCTCCAGGTGACTCCAGTGGATGAAGCACATTTATTTATTATTGCATTTTTATGTGGTGTTGGGTCTGTCCTTCTTTGTGTCAGAGCTTTGCACAATTTAAAATTATGGACATATATGAAATATAGTTAAAAATCCAGCAATGGGTTTTTAAAATTAATAAAATAAAATAAAAGAATAAAAGAAAAGTGTGCTGCTTATATACCGCCCCATAGTGCTTAAAGCACCTTCTGGGCAGTTTCTTTTTTTCTGTGCCTTTTTTAGTTTTTAAAATAAAAAAAAATAAACATTAATAAATAATGATTTTGCTTGTCCCAATCTATGGCTCGTTGTGCTTCTGCGCCTTCTTCAACATTCAGTTCGGCAAAAGCCAACTGGAGACTCACCACTTCCACACTTTCACGAGGTCATCCAGGGAGCCGGAGATGACAGTCTCAGAGCCGTCGTTTCTGTTTTTGCCCCAAGCGACGGACCAGATGGCATCGTCATGGGCTACAAAAGAAAAGGAAAAGTCACTGACTGAAAAAGCCCACGCGTCTGTGCAGAAAGAAGCCTTTCTGAGTACAGTGGCGATTTCTCACAGTCTAAAAGAAGATTCCAAGAGGCAGGGTATTTTTAACTGCAGAGATCCTTGAGATGCGAGGAGACCGGCCCACTCTCCCTGCATTAACATGCTTGGTACAGCAGGGCTGATGCATTCTGCATGAATATCGTAGTCTGTCTGCCTGAAGGAATTTACAAACCATTTTAGGAGATGTCATTTCCCTTTGTTTCACTAAACTGAGGGCGGAGAACAGACTTTCAAGATGATGCTAACCTGGGGCAAAGAAAGTGATCTCATATTTCACATCAGAAATGAGGATGACTGTATAATTGTAAACATCTTTTATGAATTGTTATTCTATTTAAAATACTCCTAATGGATCCAAGGCGGCTTGTGGTATTGAAAAACAAAGCTGAAAGCTAAA